CCAAAGTGCAATGATGCCAAGAAATTGGTGTATATGGGTGGCCCTTGCTGTGAAAGGCTCCACCACATCTGTGACTTACACCTGATGTTGTCAGGGTTGTGGCTGGGTTGCCCATCCTTTTCAAAAAGTGTCTCTAACAGTGCCATTTCTCTCAGGCGTTGGATACCTTCCTCCATGGTCTTCCAGGCTGTCTCATAATGGTGCTGCTGCAGGAAGTCTCTGTAAACAAACTTCTCTCTCACACCTGTTAGAAGTCGCTCCCAGAGAGAAAGGGGCTTTGACTCCCTCATGAATGCTTGCTCGATACCCACATCCTGGGCTAGGGATCCCAAATACCTTGCTTTGTTGCCATCAAATGGCAAGCTTTCATCCATAAGGTCCCACACTCAAATCAGTTAGGTCAAACTGGGCTCGTCTTGACGTCAAATAACGTCATTCCGCATATTGCGGAGCTGGTCATATGACAGGGATTCGGTAATGATCTCAGGCTCTGGTCCCTCCACTGGTTGTGAAGGCCCATCCTTATTAACTGGGCATATTGACTTGGCTTTATACTTCTTTCTCTGCACTGGGGTCACTTCTGCTGGCTGTGACTTCCCTTCTGGCATGGCTGGGGACTGAGCACTTGTGATGTCTATTGGTTTCTCTACTCCACTATCTTTCCCTTCTGACTATAGGTGGTGTTGCCCAGTCCAGACCATGGTGCGGTAAGTGTGGGCTAAGGTCCAGCACATTGCTGAAAGCTGTCCATCTCTAGAATTTATGGACCGATGTTCTTTCAGGCACTCGGCAACCTTACAGGGGATCTGTGTTTGGTCAGGGGAGAGCTTCCAAGCAATCGGGGGAGAGTATTCCTTCAGCACCTGGCCTATCTCCTCCCATGCTCCCATCCAATCAGAGTGACATGTCTAGGGCAGGCTGTTGGGCTGTGGCAGGTGGTTGGACAGTGGCAGGCTGTTGGGCAGGTTCCTGGGTAGGGTCCCTAGTGTCTGGGGTAGGTCTTGGGGCAGTTAGCAAAGACAACCTCACCCTGTCTCTAAATGCTGGGTAGGCCACACTGAACAAACACAGCAAAAACATCATCAGGAATAGAATATCTTTAACATCCAGGGGAAAAATCAACCCTTCAGAAGCTACTGTGGTAGGGACATATGAGAAGTGGGTGAAGGGTTGGGAAAAAGCATTTGCCTGTATTCCTCCCCCAAAATAGGTCCCATTATCAGTAAAACCTCAAAAATAGTAACCTAGGTTGTGGTAGTAATGCATCCATTTATATATATTCCAAAAGAGAACTACAGGGCCAGAATTTTTCAGCCACTGGTACCAATTTACAAACTTAATAGCAGCCACAACTATTGCAGCCATAGTGTCCATCTTTAAGAAGTGATCCATAAATAGAAAGACCATATACACCGCCAAATGCCAAAAGAAGTTGGACCACATGATGGCTAATGGTGTCTCTGTATGCAATACACAGGTAATTAAACAAGAGGGTTTATTCCTTTTCCACCTTTCCTCTAGCCAAGCCCTACGATTTGGGCACCAATAAATGTCTTAGTTTAACAAGATTACAACTTAGAAATTAAGAAACTTCAGGCGGAAGTGTGGAAAAGGAAAAGAACAGCTTTTTATTAACAAAATCTGAATAAACAACAAATGGTGCAATCAAACTTTCAGAAGAAACAAAACAAAGTCCCAATTCCCCAGGTGCAGGGGAAGAAACCCGTGGCAACCCAGGGCGAGGCGGGGGGGAAGGAGGGGGGAAGGCAGGACTCTCCTGGCAGTTCAACAGCTGCTTGCAGCCACGTGCTCCCGCAGCAGCCAGCAGCCAATGGTATCACAGCCAGCGATGAAGGAGTCCTTTCTCCCACAGGCAGTCCCGACAGCAGAATACCTCGCTCTGAGATGGGTCAGTCTCTCTCTTTCAGTCGTCCCCTGCAAGGTGTCCCCTGGGGAAAAAAACTTCCTCTCAGGAAAAGAAAAGGAGGCACCCAAAACCAGGCTCCCCGCTCTGTCCGGTCTGTGAACCAAACCCAAAAACCCCGAACAAAAAACTCCCCAGCCATCCCCACAGCAACCGTATTTCCCGAGAGAGCTCGCCCTCCCCCCACTCCCGCACTGCCCAGTGCATGCAGCTTTGCTCCATCCCCCCCCATCCCAGAAGAAACAGATGGGGGAGGTGGGGCAGATGTTGGGAAAAAATTCCAACATCTCTTTTCAAACCTATGACACTATGTCACTCTAAACAAGCAGATGATTTCCAAAGCATGTATTAAGTGTTTGAATTTTTGACTATTACTCTTTGGTTCATGTACCTTTGTCCTCCTAAACTGATTACTAGGATAGAGTGAAACAGTGGTAAACTTTTTCTAGGTGATTATTGGAACTGTGAGAATCAGTGGAGCAAGACTATCCAGTATAAAAATAACATCACTCTAATCAACTTAATGTGCAAACAGTATAGAAGAAAATTATTAAACATTTGTTTATCTTCATTAGACCTTTTCTCAATATGTCAGACCACAAATTCACCTCAAGATTGTTCCATCAGGAATCAGACAGAAGTCAGTGATACCTAAAAGATTTCACAGAATCAGCTGGGTTGGAAAAGACCTCTGAGATCATCGAGTCCAACCTATGACCTAACACCACCTTGTCAACTAGACCATTGCACTAAGTGCTACATCCAGTCTTCTTAGACACCTCCAGGGACGGTGACTCCACCAGCTCCTTGGGCAGCCCATTCCAATGCCCAGTCACTCTTTCTGTGAAGAACTTCTTCCTAATGTCTAACCTAAACCTCCCCTGGTGCAGCTTAAGACTATGTCCTCTTGTCCTATTGCTGGTTGCCTGGGAGGAGACCAACCCCCACCTGGCTACAACCTCCTTTCAGGGAATTGTAGAGAGTGATAAGGTCTCCCCTGAGTCTTCTCTTCTCCAGGCTAAACAACCCCAGCTCCCTTAGCTGCTCCTCATAGGACTTATGCTCCAGACCCTTCACCAGCTTTGTTGCCCTTCTTTGGACATGCTCCAGGACCTCAAGATCCTTCCTGAACTGAGGGGCTCAGAACTGGACACTACTCGAGGTGTGGCCTCACCATTGCCCAGTACAGGGGAAGAATCACTTCCCTAGTCCTACTGGCCACACTGTTCCTGATACAGGCCAGGATGCCATTGGCCTTTTTTGATACTGAATTAGAGTTTCTGGATGGTATATTTTGTTTCCTATATTCAGGAAACATATGCTTTAAAATAACCTGACAACCAAAATATAGGATACCAGTGAAGAGAAATGATACTTCCTCAAAAACTAATAGCCTACCAGGAGAAGTAGTTTAAAGGCAATAAGGTTTCTTAGATCCTGGATAGGAAGTGAAGTTCTGATTGAAAATAGTTGAGGAGATTGAGTCACACAAAGGTAGCCATCATCCCTTTTGAATACATGTAGTGCAAAACAATTTCTTTGTATGCTGCTGCTGGAGAGATTTAGAAGGTGTTGATGAAGTTTCCAATGTTTTTGCAGAGTAATCAGTCTTAAGCTGATCATAAAAAGATCATGTTTTGTATAAAAGCAGTAGCAAGCCAAAATGAATGCTTGGCTACTATAATAGTGTAGTGTCAAGCTGAGATCTATGAAGCCAAATTTTTCTCTAGCCAGAGAATCTAGGTCCTATTCTTAATAAATTGATTTAATTTATCAATTTTGAGGGTGCGTTTCTAAATTGCTGCTTTAGCTATTTTCAGGAAGAGGTTCATGTAGCAGAGAAATCAAGCTTCATATGTCAGTTCAATGTGAAATTCTTGTATTTAGTGTTTGGTATATATGAGTGTTTAGTTCAATTAATTTGTTCTTTAACTCGATTCATGTCAGTGAACAATCAAGAAATGAACTTGACTCAATATTCCCACTACTGCTTTCTTAATTAGCTACTGAAATTATAAATGCTGTTAAAATTTGGGAAGAAATTAGTGTTCTTTCAGTCATGAAAGAATGAAGCCCATTGAAGGCTCTAGGCTAATAGTGACCACAGTAGGCTTCAGAACCAGATCATTTGTGGTCAGGAAAACAGTAAAACCTGAATCTGAAAGTAGCTGTGCAAGGCAGCTTATCACTCTTATATGCCATATATGAGGTGGGTTTTTGATATGGTTTGAAGCTGGCTCCCTGCCAAGTCTCCAAACCTTACCACAAGAAGTGTCCCCCCCGAAACCAAGGGAGAAGAGGGAGAAAAAAAACAACCGAGAAAACCGAAACGAGAGAGAGACAGCTAAAGCAATATATAAATATATTTACACTTATATTACAGTTATATACAGTTGAAATATATATACAATTTCACAAGGAAAAGGGAAAGGGGAAGGGAAGAACAAAACCAAAATAAAATATATATATATCCCGATCAATAGCTCAAGATCTAGCAACTAAAAGAATTAGCAAAGAATATCCTACTACTCTCCTTGGGACAACGGAGAGTCACGCTGGAGCGACTGCCGGCAGCCTCCGCCTCCCAAGGTCGACAAGGCCTTGCCAGGCATCACTGTCCAACCCGACAGACTCAACAGCAGGGAAACCTGCACTTCCAAAGCCGCTGGAAGGAAAGAGAGCGAAGGCCTTTCCTCCTTTCTTCTTATACTCCAGCTTACATAAAAATCGTAGGGAATACTGGGTAAATCTGGGCACTTCCTTGGTTACAAACTGGTCACCAAGGAAGGCCTAGACCAAAATACCACAGTTTTTTAACACTATTAGCAACAAATTAAATTTTGTTGCATCATAATTTTCCTGTCATATAAACAGAGTACATTATGTCTAAAAGGTATGCCACTGTGTAACTCTCTGAAATAAGTAAGTATCTAATAAGGAGAAAAATTAAAAAATTCTACTGACAGAATTTGACTTTGTAAAATATTAAGTACAGCATTCTGTTCTGCATGTAATATAATTACTTCACACCTACTTTTTCTCTTTTACCTTTTTTTTTTTAAATGTGTACCTTCAGTTTGCAGAAAAATTTCAGGAATTCAAAGAAGCTGCACGACTAGCAAAGGAAAAATCCCAAGAAAAGATGGAGCTAACAAGTACACCCTCTCAAGTGAGTCTTATTGCCTGATTTAAGCCTAGTACTTCATAGTCTGTTCTACTTACTGTATCTTATATGCATCTTGTATTAAAAATTAAGAGTACTTCACAGTTTCCCTGAATTCTCTCAGCAGTCAGCTAGAAGTGTCAAGAAGTCTAAGAATGCATTTAATATACTTTGCTGAAGTGTCAAAGGGGCTTGCTTTAATATGAAATTGTCCTTTTGTTTACTCTCATCCCTTTCTTTGAGCTTTCCCCAGAAAATATGTTATGAGTAAAGACAGTGAGCAGTTATGTAAGTAAATCTAGAGTAAAGACCCTTTGTGTTTTTTCTTATTGTATCTATGAAACTTCAGGTGATGCACTGATTACAACAAAAATTGAAGTTTTTTTACTTTTTTAAGCAATAGTGAACACAAAAATAATTCCTCCTCTTGGAGGATGAAGCAGCTTTAAAACTACAGCAGGGGTTCCTGAGCTGAGTAGGATTAATGCAGCTGAGTCTTTTTTTCTTGGGAGTGCATCCCCATTCATTGAATCAGTGCATCCCTTAAGTGCTTTGCACTGCAGTATGCTCATGATCTTTGATGGAACAAGGACGGCAGTCAGTTTGCAACATGCTGTACGAATAGGTTTATTGCCACCAGAAAGCTGCATCTGTTGTCTTTCCAAGTCAGTGGAAACCACAACAATACATGATCCAACCTCATGTTTTCCCAATAGGCATTTTGCCCCAGTGCTAGGTTGGCTTTTGCTATTAAAGGGAAAATGTTCGCTCTACTGTAACAGGAGAAAATAAGGCATTAATTTTTATTAGTTGTCTTGACTGTCTCTAAACTTCTCATAATTGCCATTAATAAATACATAAATAATGGAAGTATTATAATCTAGTTGTAAAGCCCCAGGTTCAAGCCACAGGCCACCCGGGTGTTTTACTTATATTTAGGACTCCCAAGAGTTTGCCCACCCGAACTTTTGCAGAGCCTTTGGTTCTTTGATACCTTGAATTCACATAAAGAGAACACACAACATGCATTTCCCAAGGGACTTCTTTTAATTTAGTGAGAAAATAAGCATTTTGGCAAAAGGTTTTACAGGAGTAACAAACAACTAAGGACAAGCATTACACTAAAGCACCCAGCAAACACCAACCCACACAACCTAATGAAATACCACCCATTGGTTTTAAGTTACCCATGAGAGGAAGAAAAGAAATTCAGAGAGGAAAGGAGTAAAGAAAGAAAGGAAAAGAGAGAAAAATAGTTACTGCCAAGAGTCACATAGCAGCAGGCCCCAAGAGAGAAAGGCAAAGAAAATAGAGGCCCTCTGCGCCTATATTTATATGCCCCGGTCACTGTGGCCACCCCTCCCAGGTGGGACCACCAGTTTATTGACCACTCAGTGCCCTCTTAGCCGGAGTGAGGAGTAAATCAGCCAATCAAGGCTCTAGGAGGCATGATGTGGGTGGGCTACCAGGTGGATCTTTTTTTGATTGACAGGCTCTTGCCACATGGCTCCAGTGCCATGTACCTTCTGAGCTGCCATGTTGGCTGTAGACCATGTGTCTTCCGATACTGGAGGCCTGGCCCCCTCCCCCGACACATACACAGAAGTTGGTTGATTCGACCCAATTAATAAATAACCCAGTGAGATACAAATCCAGTCTCTCACGCTAGTATACACTTGGACTTTATAGACAGTGAAATGCTTCATCCAGGCCTCTAGTTGTTGCCTATATTATAGGCAAAACAACTACTCTGCTTCTCTTCTGACATAATGATTAATAATCTGCACTCAGAAGTTAAATCTGAAACTGTTGAATGGAGTGACTTATTTGGTTTGGGCATAAATTTGAGCTACTCATTCAGATTCTTTAGTCTAGCAGTTGCCCAGGGTTAAAGCTTTTTCTTAATCTATATGAGCTATTAATATTGTTTATTTTCCAGATTTCCCTTTTTATTTGGAGCCTAGCATTTTATACTGTAGGCAGCTATAGAAATGTTATCTCAAGCAATTGTATAATACACATTAAAAACTGCGATTTATTTACCACACATTTAGGAATAATTTCATATTCAGGCCTTACTTTTCATCTCTTGGCTTTTAGCTGTGTTGATAAGTTAGCGTGCTATTCCAAAATACAGTTAGTGCAAGTGCTGACACATCAGCAGAGTAGTCTTCACATAATGCTTCTCATTAGTTCTTCAGAAAGAAGGGAGTTTGGAGCAGATGAGGAGTGATGACTTCATGACAGACTGCAGCACTTCCATAGCGCTGGGGCTTATTTGAAGAAATTTATGTCTGAGGGAAAGACAGGTGCTTGGTAGTGGGGAGGGAAGGTGGGACCCCAGAGACATTTGAAGGAACACTTGCTGTCATTTGATTATCTGCCAAAAAATGGCTGCAAGGCATGTAATTCCAGTGTTGCCTTTGTCAATCATTTTACAGCTCTTTTTTCCCTTTTATATAGTGATCCTTGGCAGAGAAGGGAAGGAAAAGAGGAAGAAGAGATATTTTCAGTGGCCAGTCAAGACTTTATAGGAACTTGGCTTTTAAAGGAAGTTTTGACAGGAAAGGCATTGGGAGGTAGTGTGAGAGTAGTGAGCTCTATAACAGTAGCTCAGTTAGCTACTGTTAATCCCTCTGCTGTATTGGACTTGCAGATATCATTCTGCATTAAATTAATAGGTAGGAAGATACTGCATATAAAAACTGGAAAATATGCCTTTAAAACTTACATAAAATATGTTACATTTCTCATATTACTGCTTAAAAAAATACATTATTTTGTTCATGTCATAAACCCATGGATCTTACAGTGACAAGCCACCCATGGTCTATTTTCAGTTACAGGCTTGCCTATGCACTGAAAGTGCAACACTGATCTGGAGTTCACTGAGTAGAGTGAATCAATAGGCTGAAAACTGTGTGTACTGCTTTTTTCCCCCTTTATTGTTTAAACTAACGTTAATTAGGTTCAAGTACACAACCAAATAGGGTTTGCACCCTCACCCCATCAGTCTTACAACCAACTGAAGAACTGGAGTCTGAACCACAGTTCTTGGTTTTTTTTCCAAGCCAGAATCTTTCTTCAGATATTTCTTGTGACCCCAGTCATTTCAGATTAAGAACTCTGTTAATTTCTGAAATTGTGTGGTAAGTAAATCAAAATATTCCAGTTCTTTCTTCTGTGATTCTGAGACCCTCCCATAATATTAGGAATAGCTATTGCCTGAAAAATTTTAGTATCACATTTTTATATTTTAAATATAAATTATTTACCAGGCATGGATAGTTGTGAGTGTGTGAGAGCACTGATTAACCTGTATTGGTGGAAGAAATATACAGTAGAATCTGATGCTTCTTTTGTACATGCAGATCAGACCCTCATGAATTTGCAGGAAGCAAACCTTTAGGTACTATATAGATTGTGATGTTTGTCTGCATTAATCTTTGTCACTTGAATTTCATTCAAACTAGACATCTATGAAAGTTCTTTACTGAAAAATAAGCCTAGATGGAACTTACACATTTGTTTTTCTTCTACTGAAATTGTTTTTATGCATTTGTACTTTAAATATTTTAATAAAGCTCTAGCTTTATGTATCTAATAATAGTGTTGTAGGAATCTTAGATTAAAGATACAAGCAAGTCAGATTTTGTGGGATGTGTTATATGTTTTTTAGAACATCTAGTGTAGTTTGGGAAGAGGAGGAAATAACAAAGAAACTCTTGGATTGATAATGCCTTTCATTTAATGGCAGTGAAAACTGTTTATCAAATCAGAGGATAATAATAGACAAACGCACATAATTTGTATAAAATAATTAATGTGCCTGATTATCTTGCCAGCTCTGCTCTCCTTTGACACTTTAATCTCAATTCAGTTTCAGTTCAGTAAAATTGTTGTGTAAAAGCATTTAATATTGATATCTAAAGTATTAACACTTAAGGTAATAGTTTTGAGTATAAAATAAGTACTTTCTTCCCGAAAGTGGGTAACAATTTTCATTCCTAAAATAAATAATTTACATTTATATTATAAATAACACTTCATATTTGTGTAATAAATCAGTGTAAGCGAATTATTTTCTGCTTTTTAATCAGTAGGAATTTAATAAGAAGATGCAGAATGGAGACACATGCATGTGTATTGTACACCTTGAGGAATGCTAAATATAATAGAATTTGAAGTCATTATTAAAATGTTTTACTGTAACCCTGTATTACTCAATAATTCAAGTTGCAGAGTGAGATATCTCTATGTGAGAAATACAGTAGAATAAAAGCAAAATTTTGACAATTGCTGTGCTGCAAATGCTTAATATAATTTAAAGTGTAATGAAAATGTTGAGCAATATTTTTGGTTAAGTGACACCAGTGCTTTGTGGAAGGTGATAATGACAACCAGATCCTATTTTCTTTAAAAGAATTGAGTTTTTCCATCTGGCCAAGTCAAGGGCAACATTTCTTAGAGATATAGGATCAAATTCAGTACTGGCTTTCAAAAAGCCTTATCCTTGTAAACTAGTTGAAGGCTACAAGTGCAGGCTTAAAATTGGACCCTGATCTTGTAAGATCATGACCAGATAGATACAATTTCTTCTGAGATTGCTGTTCTTCAGTTTTCTACAGTGGCAAAGAGATGGGAAGAGGAGCTGCTGGCTTTCCAGAGATTGTGCTTGTGCTTCAGTTTAATAAGAGTAAATAGCAGTTTTATCTCTTCTCTATGCAGATGGTAAAAGGCTGTGTGGCTATAGAAGGTGCTTAGCTTTTGGAAATATTGTAATTCAGCCAATCCTCTGCTGGATAGTCACCCCTCCATGACATCCATTGAACTCTATTCATGAAACTTTACTATCTTATAGTTAAATGTTACCACTTGATTATTAAAAGCCTACTAAGACATCTTGAAATTAAAATGAGCTACTTAGCTTATATGACTCCTTTTCTCCTGCAAAAATCATTACTTGGAAAACTATATAATAGGAAAGAATATATTAAAATTAAACC